AAGGCGACATGGGCACAGTGTGGAGGTTGAGGCGATCCACAGGTTGGGTGATGCCAGCCTTGCCGCGCGTGCGCATTGAGTGCGCATTGGTGACCGGGGTGATGGAGACTGGGCGAGTGGCGATGGTGCGGCCGGTTGTCGTGGAGCTGCTGGCAGCAGCCCGTGCGGATGGCACAGGGGCAGCAGCACCTGGCGCCGTGGTGCTGCTGGCAGCAACCCGTGCTAATGGCACAGGGGCAGCAGCACCGGATGGTGCAGTCGGCGAGGCGACCGGGGCGCTACTGGCAGCAGCCTGTGCGGGATGCACAGGGGCAGTAGCACCGGTCAGGGGCGAGCTGGGCGACCGCGTTCCAGGGCTCGGCGATGCAGGACCGGACTGGGACGCGGCAACAGGCGCATGCACAGGCATAGGGCCATGCATGACGGGAGACGTCGGAGGAGTCGGGGTACCTGCATGCACAACGCGAACTCCAGGAAGTGGAGCGGTGAGATCATGCTCATCAACGAGGAAGTCTAAGGTGGAGGAAGCCATGGGCGTGGTCAACATGTCGGCGAAAGGGAAAAAAGATTCATCAAAAACGACATGTCGGGAGAGAATAATGCGATTCGACTGGAGCTCGAGACACCGATAGCCTTTGTGTTCCGAGGAGTAGCCGAGGAAGACGCGTAGGGAAGAACGAGGTGCAAGTTTGTGGGGTGCTGTGGAGGACAAGTTGGGGTAACAAGCACACCCAAAAACTTTGAGATGGTCATAGGAGAGTTGGGTGGAATGAAGGTGGGTGTAAGGTGTCGAGGAGGCGAGGGTTTTGGTGGGGAGGCGGTTCACAAGATAGGTGGCAGTGTGGAGGGCCTCAACCCAGTAAAGCGGAGGAAGACTCGCCTGAAATAGCAGAGAACGCATAATATTATTAATGGTGCGAAGGGAGCGCTCGGCTCTGCCATTTTGCTGAGAAGTATATGGACACGACATGCGGAGTGCAACACCGTGGGAGAGAAAGAACGTGCGGGCGGTGGAATTATCAAATTCACGGCCATTGTCGCACTGAACGCTCTTGATGGTGGTGCCAAATTGCGTGTGAATAAAGGCAAAAAAATTTGAGAGAGTGGAAAACGTCTCAGATTTTAGGCGAAGTGGAAACGTCCAAATGTAGTGTGAGCAATCATCAAGAATAACAAGATAATATTTGTACCCTGACACACTAACAATAGGAGATGTCCAAAGACCACAGTGTATCAAATCAAAATTATGACTAGCCCTAGAGCTAGATGATCCAAAAGGAAGCCGTGTGTGATGACCAAGTTGGCACGCATGGCATATATGGTGGAGATCATCTTTATTACATGAGATAACACTGGAACGAATAAGCTTGGACAGAGCTTCGCGCCCAAGATGCCCGAGACGACGATGCCAAAGTGAGGTGGGTGCAGCGATAAGTGCGGAGGTGCTGGTGGCGGGTGGAAAGAACGGGTAGAGGTCGCCAGATCTATTGCACCTGGCGATCACGTTCCTAGTTTGCAAATCCTTCACAGAAAGACCAAACGGATCAAATTCAATAGAACAATTATTATCGGTGGTAAAACGACGAATGGAAATCAAATTCTTAATAATGTTGGGGGACACCAGAACATTGTTAAGAACAAGATTACGATGTGGAGATGAAAAATATGTGATCCGGTGGCAGTGACAGGAAGGAGTGCTCCATTGCCCACAATGATAGATGAAGGTGTAAAAGATGATGGTGAGGAAATGGTGGAGAGGTTACCAGGGTCCGCGGTCATGTGAGAACTAGCACCGGAGTCGGCGTACCACTCGGACGGTGCCGGCGGAGTGAGCGTCATGGTGTTGAACGACTGCGCCAGGGAGTCTTGAGTCCAAGCGCCTCCATGGATGGGGTTCCAGGATGCCGGCTGTGACACCTGGTAGGCCAACGAGGGCCCCTGGAACGCTGGCGCTGCTCCCCATAGACGTACGGTGAAGGCGGAGCGGTGTAGCCGGAGCCATAGGCGCCACCTCTCGGGACGCCGCTGAAGGAGCCGCCGTAGCCGTACTGTGGGACGGCGGTGAGCGCTGGTGGCGCCGGTGGAGGACGCCCGTAGGGCCACATCTGGAGGGTGCCGGCCTAGGGGTGTGCAAATGATGGGTGCACACCCGGGGATGCATGGCTGAAACCGGAGGCGCCAAGAGCAGTTGTTGTTGCTTCTTCTTGCCATCCACGTCCGCCGCCGCGAGACGCATCGTCGGCCGAACGCTGCCACCACGGGGGTGCTCCTCGCTGTCCACCGTAGGGCGCACCGTGGGCGCGCAGAGGAGAGTGGCGCCCATAGCGGCGCGCGCAGCAGAGCCACCGTGTTTGCCGCCGGGCGCGGCGCGCGACGAAAGTGCGGCGGAGGCGAGGGGCGGCCTCGCGTCGATCTCCATCTCCTCCGGAGGAGGTGCGTCCGAGCCTCCGCGAAGGTCGGGAACGGGCGATGCATCTTGAGAATGGACACCATGTGGTGGAACTTGCCGCTCAAGCCACGGAGAAGGGTGAGCACCATTTGCCGATCACCGATGGGGTCGCCGAACTCTGCAAGTGACGCAGCCATGGACTCGAGACGACGGCAATAATCTGTGATCGTCAGGGAGTCTTGGCGGAAGTTGCGAATTGCGTCTCGAGGAGGAGGGCGCGGGATTCCCGCTGACCGAGGAACTCATCCTCGAGGTAGCACCAAGCTTCGGCGCGGTCGCCGCCGCATCATGAGCGACTGCTGTAGATCGCCGGAGACCGTGTCGTATATCCATGTCAACACGACACAGTCGGCCTGCACCCACGCCGGGCGCGTGGGGAACGCCTCATCCTCAAGGACGTGGCGAGTCAGCGCGTACTTGCCGAGGACGGTGAGGAACATGCCGCGCCACTTGGTGTAGGTGTTGGTGGCCTGGTCGAGAATGACGGGGATGAGGGCCTTGACGTTGACGACGGTGGTGGCTCGCGCCAGAGATAACCTTCGTGGGCGGCCTCGTACTCGTCCAGCGCGACGAACGGAGGCGCTCTTCCTCGGCGCGGCGTGCTTTCTCAAGACAGCCTCTTGGCGGCCTTAGCGCGCAGCGGCGCGCGCCAGATCATCATCGTCGTCCGCCATGAGGGGCGGACCGGGCGGCCGCACACTGGTGGCGCGATCAACAAAGACACCCGGCGATGTGTGCGGCGGGCAGCGTCACAAGCACGTACACAAAGACGTGCACAGCCAGATCAAAGACGCAAAGACACCCGGCGATGTGTGTGCAGCTCCAAGCACGCATGAGATGATATCTGACAAAGACGCGTCAAAGACGCGTGACGACGGCGGCGGGCGGGAGACGTACAGCACGTACAATAGAAGAATAGGAGCGGAGGCAGGATCGGATCGGCGGCCACACCCGGTGACGAGGGAAGCTACGGGGCGGGCGATCGGATCGGCAGCGCGGGCGATGAGACCGGCGACACACCCGGCGACATGTAGTCAGCGACGGGGGTGGCGATCGGATCGGCGGCGGCACTGGTTTGGGTTGCGGAAGGGTAGCGGATCGGAACCGCGATTGATACCATGAAAGTGTGGAAATAATTGATTGTATTCCATATGTGTATGAGTACATATAGGTCAGCCGGGGTGACATGCAAGCCTACCGCACAGACGCGTGATTACATCCACAATTAAGGGACCTACTATATATACAATATGCTAACATGGTGCTGCATGCGTAGTAGGAGTAGGTCTTATCAACAAGCTAAAATAAGTTGAGGATTTAGTATGTACAGTACCTCTCAACTTTATGCTTTTTAATATTGTGACAGTGGAACCACAAGTGGCCGAGTTCAGATTGCTGGTTCACATTGGGCATGTCTAAAAGAGATGACAGGACAAGTCCCTGGATTTTTAATTCTTTTTTTTTCATTTGGGACAAATCAACATGGCATCATCAGATCGCATATAAAGATATAAATAAACCGACCAAAGCCCAAAGGAAGCAGCTGTCAGCTGCCGCCATCATTCAGAACCAATAACCAAAAAAGGTAGACATGCTAGTGACATTTAACAGGTAAGCACTGAAGCATGCAGAACCAAACCAAGATAGAACGCAGGAAAGCCTGACATGGCTCTGAATATTCCGAATTGAAATGTTACTACACTTCAATAGGCAATTCACTAGTGGTCATTAAGATGAGGAGCAATTTCAATTTTCATGTAGTGTGAAGTTTGGTGAGTACCCAACAACTTGCTAGACTATACTATATTCAATAACTCAGAAGCAATACATACTGATTCTGAATCCAACTCCAACCTATTTCTGGAGGGACTGGCCATGTAACTTCTCAGTTCTCACCAATTTTCTGCTTGTGAACATCTTCACCTTCACCCCTAGAGAAGTCAAAAAGACAATGCATTATGCTCCAAAGTAGCTTGTAGCCGCCACACGCCCACATTCACACGGGTAACATATCGAGAGTTCGAGACAACAAGCCAAATTAAAGAGGCGACCACATATTAAGTAATGTCCTCTCAAGGACGTTTGGTTTAGAGCCTTTTCCCCAGTAATGATTAACAGTGCCATCACTTTACATTACTTAATGATTAACAGTAGTGTCCTCGCCGGAGGGACCCGATGCGAGCCTGCTCAACGCGGATGCCGCTCACCTCCGGCCGTTAAATGATTACGCGCCATTGCTTTGTCCAACCAAACAAAATCTTGTAAATGAATCCCACCATCGATTCCCCCCACAATCCACTTTCATTCCCGTTGCCATTACCAGTTTGCCAACCAAACACTACCTAGTGCGACCAAATCTGTCAAGCACTGGTTCATTGCAAATATACAATCATGACCAGAGATGTTATACAGAAGATGAGGAATCCAGGTGTTGAGCTCTACGGTTTGCTCAACGTGCTAGTTTGAGTACACAAGTCGAGCTATAATACTTACTGGCACTAACTATTTTATAGCCCTTTCTTTTATTCTGAAGCCGAAAAGAGAAATATCATCACACAAAGGACGCCTCGCCATTCAGATCAAAATAAGCACCAGTTGATCCGTCGTCAGGCAAGAGAGCAACCTTCACAGGGTTGCGGGCACCCTCTTCAAGTGTCAATACCCCCATGTGCATAGACATATCGGTCTTGACATAACCAGGTGTCAGACAGTTGATACGCATTGTAGGATACTTCTTAGCAAGAATCCTAGTATATGCATTAAGGGCTGCTTTGGCAACTTTGTAGGCTGAAGAGCCACCTGTTGGCCACCCATGTGCCTCTAGTAAGTTGGCCTTGAAATCTTCAAGGAACAAACCCAATAGTTCTTCCAGTCTCTTTTCAGTAAGGTTGTCAATGTCATCAAATTCCTTCCTTAGTTCTTCACTGTTGAAGTGCTGCTCAAAAGGATAACATTTGATCTTCAGTAACTAAAACTCTAAAAGTGAACAAGAACAAGGGAAGCCAAGTGGACTGAAACAAAGTTACATTTTATGCATGAGACTCCCAGTAGAAATAATCATCGGTAACATCATTTTAAGTTCTTCCATATACTGAAAGAAAATTGTGGAATGTGGAGACAAACAAGAATGCCCCTCCGAAAGGCTACTGGTTGTTGTGCAACAAAAAAAACTCAAAACAAAAGGCAGGAATTCAAGCATGCTACTGCAAAAATATTCTGGCAAGCACTATGCTGGTGATGAACTGTGAGGAATTACATTAATTATTTAAATTTCCAGTTCAAATGCTTTGGGATTTGCGGAACTTACTCTCAGCAGTCCAAAGCCGGAAGAAACATTGACAATTTTTCCACAGGATGATAACTGAAGAAGAGGAAGTAATGCCTCAGTGACAAGTTTGGCACCATAGTAGTTCGTCCTCATACATTGTTTAGCTTCCTCGTATGTCTCTTTAGAATTTTCCCTCATCCATTCAACTCGTTGGTTCACATCCATACCTTCAACCTATCCTTGCATAAACATATTAATTAGTCCAAAGTTAAACAGATATACCTTTTATTTTCCTAGACCTGTATACAAATATATTAATGTAATAAGTAAACAGTCAAATTGTAAGCGAAGGTACAATCTAACAAGGATTTCACTTTTCAAATATTGTGATTGCCTTGCATAACTTAAGGATCATTAATCTTAAAAGAATATGTTTACCACATAACATCTCAACATCTTGAAAGACAGCAGCAAACAACTATAGAAACAGGAAGCTATAATAACTACAATAACTTTGCTTTCTTGTGAAGTATAATTACACAGGAATTGCTCACAAACTGTTCCTGCAAAGCAACAGTGCGCTATAATATTCTATTTAGTTAAGACTTAAGAGTACCTGATCCTTAACTTTGGCAACCAAAAGTGGATCCCGATCAACACCTGAAACCCCAGCATTATTGATCTACAAACAGCAAGAGTAACAAAATGATGGTGATGCCTTGCAAATGATTCAGACAAGAATCATTTTGTTCAAACACTAATATGTGATAATGAGGAAAGTTCACAGACGCAAAAGCTACACAAATTTTTCATTAGATTTTTTGTTTTCTGGATTTCGACACGAAACGGACTCTATACCGGCAGCAGAGTTTAGAAGAGTGGCACAATCATGAAGGTTGCAGCTTGCTTGGAATGCTGAATTACCGATGGAGTGTCTAAAACAGAACTGAGAGCAATATGGTCTAGCTCTTTTGTTGCTCGAGTGTATGAGTATGGCATCTGGTGTGCTTAGCGCCCCCTCGCGATGTACTGGTCTTTTGCTCACTTTTAATATATGTAAACAATACAAAGTTCAATTTACATTGACGAATAAAACGTGTAGCTCTAACGATCTCTCTACTGAATCGATTCCCACTCTCCCAAATTCACGAGCGAGCAAAGCGAGCGAAACGGATTAGGGATCCATACCAGGATGTCAAGCCTCCCGAATTGATCCCTAATGAAATCCGCCAGCCGGGCGGCGCTGGAGGGGTCGGTGACGTCAAGCTGGTGAAAGAAAACCTCGGCGGCGGCGCTGGAGGTCCTGATGGCCTCGACCGCTTCCAACCCCCTCGCCGTGTTCCTCGCTGTCAGGACGACCCTGAGCCCCTTGGTCGCCAGGTGCCGGCACGTCTCTAGCCCGACTCCCTTGTTTCCCCCGGTGACCAGCGCGATCCTGAACAGCACGGGAGAGCCAACGAACTCGCGAAATCAGAGGAGAAAGAAAAACCGCCCGACACCAGCTAGCAAAAACTCAAATTACCACTAGCGTACCTATTGCTCCACGGATTCGAGACGGCCGCGTCCATTGTTCCCTCTCCGGTTCGGGGCGGCGCGGGGAGTGCGGAATGCCGAATGCGGTGCCCTAGCCTTGACTTGGAGAGGATTCACGAGTCCACACAGTCCGCACCTTTTTCGAAAAAATACATTGGCCTCTGTCGCTATCAAACTGCTCGCGGCCTGCCAAAGTGCCAATGCAATGCAAGCGCCCGCGTGCGTGCGTGCTTTTCCCCGTCGTTTCTTGCTAGAGCTTTGGGCTATGGCGCTATGCGGTCAAAAAGTGGCCCGGTTCTGGAGCCCAGGGCACGGTGAGGGTGCGCACGAAGGCCCAATGTTTCTTTTCGGGCTGAGCTGCTTTACGGCAGCAGCGCAGCAGATGACCCGGTCCAATTCCCATCTCGGCGATCTCGCCGAAAGAAGCAAGAAAAGCGATATGTTTGTTTACCCGTGTGCCCACGCATCGCAATCCAAGACAACCAGTCCACCCACCATGTGAAATCGTACGAGCTCTGGGGGGGAAAAAAACACTCAGCACGAGGATGATGTCAAAGCTTGGACATATTTACCCTGTTACGTGCCCTGCTTATATAGCAGTAAACGTCCTGTTCGCTTGATTTATTAGATTTATAAGTCGTCTTTTTAATCAATGAATAATATTTTTCTTTCACATCAAATCAGTAAACAGTACTTTCAGTCATGACTTATCAACCAAATAAGTCCAAACGAACAGAACGAAAGTCTACGTGGTATGTGCCAAATCAGCCCACGGCGCAGTTTTCTTCGATGATGTTTGGTGGGAAAACAAGTAAACAAGAAAGTAAAAAAGAAAGTTTACAAGCTGCCCTAGCAGTCCTACGAATCAAAGTATATCTGACGCACTAAAAAAAAGACATCCCCCTAACTATAAATATGCTGAAAACAGAAATTATAGCTAGAAATTAGAACACTGTTGGCTCTATCTATCCCTTCATGCAGCCCAATGGCAGAAGACAACACTGTTGGCTCGTGATATCTCTTCCGGCAGCGATCGGTGACGAGCACGCCGTGCCAGCGGCGAGTGGCGTCGTGATAACTGATAACATATTCAAGTAACACCGCGGGCCGCGAGTACCGAGTGCGATGCCAATTGCCAACGGGCGCGCCGCCGTGCCGAGGTCAAAAGAGATGATTGAGAAGCGTGTCCCCTTCTCTCTGAGTCGCAAATGCTGTGATGCGATGTTTCTCGTGACGTCGAATGCTCCAGCCTCGCGGTCTAGCAAATCGCATTTCACAGTCACACTCGGAGAATATTTTACAAACAGTACCAGTACAAAATCAGTACGGCGAGAAATTTTACCACTCTGGGATTACAGTTACAGTACAGCTATGTCACAGGAAAGACCTAGCAACGCGAGACGGGCAAAGCCTACTCTGACAGCGACCGTGTCCCTTGTTCACCTTCCGCCGGAGAGGCCGGACACCGAAGAGAACCCGCCGGAGACGGGGCTGACGCCCGACGTGCCCGTGGACGGGAACGACATGGCGAAGGAGTCGAACCCGTCGTTCTGCATCAGCGCCAGCATGGTGTAGCTCACGTACGTCGGCGCCACCTCGGGCATCGGCGTGTCGCCCTCCAGGTACTGCACGACCTGCCGCATGCCGGGCCGCGCGTCGGGCAACGGGTGCGCGCACATCAGCCCCAGCCTGATCACCAGCCGGGCCTCGTCGGCGTCGTACTTGCCGCACAGCCGCGCGTCCACCGTGTCGAGGGCGGCCCCCTTGCGGTCGTGCTCCTGCACCCAGTCCAGCAGCACGTTCTGCTCGTCGGGCGCGATGCACCCGAGCGGGCGGCGACCGCAGGCCACCTCCAGCACGAAGACACCGAAGGCGAACACGTCCGTCACCGGGGTCGCCTTCCCCGTGCGCACCAGCTCCGGGGCGAGGTACCCCATGGTGCCCACCACGTGCGTCGTCTGCGGGTCCACGCCGTGGTCGTACAGCCTCGCCAGGCCGAAGTCGCCCAGCCGGCCGTTCATGTCGCCGTCGAGGAGCACGTTGCTGGCCTTGATGTCCCGGTGGATGACGATCTTCTCCCAGTCCTCGTGGAGGTAGAGCAGGCCGGAGGCGACGCCCTTGATGATGTGGAACCTCTGCTCCCAGTCCAGGACGGGCCTGGTCTTGTCGTGCAGGTACTTGTCCAGGCTGCCGTTGGACATGTAGTCGTACACCAGCAGCAGCTCTCCCTTCCGCCGGCAGTAGCCCAGCAGCTGCACGAGGTTCCGGTGGCGGAGGTGGCCGATGCTGACCACCTCCGCGATGAACTCCTTCATACCCTGCTTCGAGTCGTGGGAGACCCTCTTCACGGCGATCTCAAGTTTGGCCTTGGGGAGCACGCCCTTGTACACCCTCCCGAAGCCGCCGGTGCCGAGCAGCATCTTGTTCTTGAACCCCTTGGTCGCGTGGTAGAGCTCCTTGTACGAGAAGCGGTGGGGGCCGAACTCCACCTCCCAGTCCTCGCGCACCTCGGCGTACCTCACCCGCCTCCGCACCAACAGGAAGGCGCCGATGACCAGCGCGAGGACGAACGCCGCGGTGGCGATCGGGAGCACGATCTCCAACACCTTGGACCGGGGCTTGGGCCCGAACCGCGGCAGCGCCGGGAGCTTCGAGATGTCCAGCGGCGGGGCCGCGCCGTCCGTGGCGAAGCTCCAGCCCAGAACGTAGTGGCGCGTGTAGATGACACCCGTGGCCGCCGAGAAGCCGACGTAGGCGGTGTCGTCGTCCGTCCCGACCGCCGAGAGGTTGACCGGCGCGGAGATGAGCGGATTCCTGGGCTTGGGCACGTCGAGGGGCGCCATCGTGACGTCCAGCCGCGTGGTGGCGCCGTCGTAGTCGACCCAGACCTGCATGGCCTGGCGGCTGATGAGGCTGAGGTTGTTGAACACACCCGTGGCGTCGTCGTAGTAGCCGGCGCTGTGGTTCTGCAGCGACCTCATGCTGTTCACGTTGACGCCGAGGTGGTTGCTGTTCATGTCCTGGAACTCCGGGTTGAGCATGGTGTCGAGCTCGACGAACAGGACGCGGTTGCCGTCCTTGCCGTTGTCGGTGACGTTGAGGATGCCCAGGTACTGCCCCGCGTTGAAGGTGGACAGCCTGGTGCTGGGCGCCACCACGAACGCCATGCCGTTGTCGCTGAGCACGGTGAAGTTGGAGACGATGGCGAAGACGAACGCCGCCGAGAAGGACCTGACGGCGCCGCCGGGGCCGCCGTCCCGCAGGCGGACGGGCGCCGGGTGGAACGCGTGGCCGGCCATCTGGCTGGTGCCGTTGCTGAGCACCAGGAGGCCGTTCGGCGCCACCACGGACATGCCGTCGAGCGAGAGGTTGGCGCCGCCGAAGCCGTTGTAGGTGAACTCCTCGGCGGCGGCGAGCACGGCCGCGTGGTCAGAGGAAACCGCGGCGAGGAGCAGGAAGAGTGGGAGGAGGTGCAAGCGGGGGCAACCCATCGCGTCCGCGTTCGCGAGCCGCGTTACGCTGCAACACAGGCGCTCTAGACGGGAGCGATTGGAGTGAAGTAATAGAGGAGTAGTCTACGACTGAACTTCGCTCTGGCGTTTCTGTGCGAACGATCCGATGCTGTGAGCCTTTGACCCCCGAGGGCGACTTCTTGACTTCTTGTTCAAAACCGCCCCCATGATCACAAGAATTCAAGAGGGCGTTGGTTCGTAGCCTGCCTGGTGAGGCAATCGGACCCGTCCACGGTCACAGTGCGAGGAACATGTTGCTTGCCGGACGGGTACGTCAGCCAGGCAGGCCCCGCTTGCCATGCCAACCGCGTCCCACTGAATTTCAACGGCATCGCTGATCCAAGTCAAGGAAATGCCGATAAAAATATCCTAGCCAGTAGCCAGCGATGACAGGAGTGAGTGGTTAAGTGTCACATACTCGCATGTCACATTGCAACACGGCACGCTTGGATTAGAGCAGGTAGCCAGCCAGCCAGGTACTATGTACTGAGAGTAACCAATTTGGCTCGGGCTTATTTAGTTGCTCCCAATTCTAACTTTGGCACTATACAAAAAGAGGATTCCCTGTCATATTAAATTTGTGATACATGCATGGAGTACTAAATGTAGACGAAATCAAAAACTAATTGCACAGTTAGGTTGTACTTTGCGAGACGAATGTTTTAAACCTAATTAGTCAACGATTGAACAATTATTACTAAATACAAACAAAATGCTACAATACGCTATAGTGTATACAGTGAAGCCATCCACCCTGAATTTGGCCAACTAAACAAGTCCTCGGTGTCATCTGGTGGGCTGCGCCCTTTTGACTGTACGCCACTATCTTTTCCTACAATTTCCGTGCCCAGGTTGTTTAAGGTTACTCGACATGATCCAGAATCGCAGGCAGTCAAAAGGACTGGCTTAGGCCGCGTTCGGTTTCAAACCTAAATTTCCAAAAAATGCTATAGTAGTTATCATATCGAATCTTACGGTACGTGTATGGAGCATTAAATATAGACGAAAAAAACTAATTACACAGTTTAGTTGGAAATCGTGAGACGAACGTTTTGAGCCTAACTGGTCCATGATTGAACACCAAGGCCCCGTTTGGCAGGGCTTCTCCACTAGCTTCAGGAGCCGTTTGGAGCCGTTTTCTGCCAAACGGGGTAAAGTGAAATAGCTTCACTGGTGAAGCCCCTAAAAACATGCTCTCACAATGATTTCGGGTGGGATGGAGCAAAAAAAAAGTGGTTTCTCCCGCCTCCTCTTCCAAAGCCCTAAAAACATGCTCTCACAGGGAAGCCATTTTGCCAAACGGTTTACCAAAACCGTTTCAGCTCCACCGGTGGAACTGTTCGTGGAGCTGAAGCAAAAAAAAATGGTTTCACTAGTGAAGTGAAGCCCTGCCAAACCGGGCCTAATTGCTAAATAAAAACGAAAGTGCTACAGTAGCCCGAATTCCAAAATTCTGCCAACTAAGCGCGTGTTCAGTTCCACCCCAAATTCTCAAAAAGTGCTACAGTACCTATCACATCGAA